GTTTGGATGCATCCATTAGAAATATGGCTCAGTCTTTGTATGAGCAGGGTGATGTTTGCCATTCACCTGTCCTCCCTGTTGGACTTTTCATCCATTGTAGCCCACGTGGCCAGTATTTCTGTCTTCCTGTAGAGGTAGGGTGTGGATGTGTGTGTCTTGCCCAGTTCCTTCCTACTTGGCTCTTCTGATAATTCTTAATCTCCACATTAGTCTGCATCTAGTTTGAAGTATTTGTGGATGAACGTGCTGCCATTTCAGATACTTTATTATTGTCAAAGTCCCAAGTCACAAGGGTCCTCAGAAATTTGGTCCATGACCATTCTTCCTCATGAAGTTCATTTCCATTTCGGAATCAGTATATGAATAGAAGCAGACATATGGCCCGTTTTTTAACCTTATGCATCAGGTCATTTCCACAAAATTCAACTAGGCTCCCAATTCTTGTAGTTTCTCCCAGTGAAGGTAAAATGAGCGGATCAAAGACTCAGCGGAATTCTTTGCAGAATGAGCCTCTGAGTGAAGAGAAAATACTAATGTTTACAAAAAATGATTCCCGTTCTGTGTTTGTAGAGAAGCAGAAATTTCACAGCAATGGAGATCTGACCCAAATGCAGGAAGGGCTTTTGAGGTGAGTGATACTTGTAAGGGAGGAATGGGGAATGTTGGCGATTGTGAGACTAGCCTGAAAGTAGAGAACAGGTGTAAACCTAGCGCAACAACCGTGTAGTCAAAACTTTCACAAAACGAAGTTTTTGTAAATGCATTCTAGGTATTGATCATCTGAAAAACCATTGCGTTGTTAAAAATGGTCAGGGAAAACTATAGGTAAGAAACCCTGAACGTTATGACTCTATTTGAGTCCTCAGGAGAACAGTAAGCTTGAACCATTTTGCAATCATGCAGACAGTGCCACAACCATACTCAGTCATTGAAAATGTCCATTATGTAGTCCAATAATAATTAATAAGCATCAATAGATCATTAATTATTAAAGAGATCACTTCTAATCACTATTCCCTTACCATGTATCTTCCTATTTTGAACAGCAGTCCTTTGTTGGAGAGTGTCTGTGAACGTTTTGAAGGAGATCCATGTGGAGAAACCCTGAACTCGATTACAAGTCTTACTGTGCATGAGGGGTGTCCCACTGGAGGCAAATCCTGTGAATGTGCTAAGTGTAGGGAAACCTTCACAGATGGTTTTTTCCTAGGGAATCTGCAAAGATCTCACCCAGGACTCAAATCTAGTCCCTGTGAGGAATGTGGGCCGGCCTGTAGCTCCGTCTCAAGCCTCAGCACTCAGGTGGGTGCAGACCTTGTAGAGAAATCCTATGAAGGTCAGGACACCGGGAGAGCATCTGACGCCTACGCGAAGAGTCTGAGTAGTAAAAAATCTCTAGAGTGCAAGAAATGTGGAAAAGCTTTCACTTGCACGTCTTCCTTTCAGGGTCATGTGCAAAATGACCGTGTACAGAGGGTCCATGCATGTGACATGTGTGGGAAAACCTTCTTATATCACTCCTTCCTTACACGTCATATGAGGACTCACACTGGGGCTAGAACCTCTCAATGTCAGGAGTGTGGGAGAGCCTTCGGGTATAAGTCAAGCCTGCAAAAACATGTGCGGACCCATGCTCGGGAGAAACCCTATAAATATCAGCCGTGTGGGAAAGCCTTCCCTGGTCAGCACACCTTTCTTGTACCTGGGAGAACACCTACAGGGGATGGATCCTGGGAATGTAAAGAATGTGGGACAACTTTCAAGATACGTCTACATTTTGAATGTCACATGACCACACACAATGTAGTGAAACCCTATGAATGTGGGGAGTGTGGCAAAGCTTTCAGGCATCACCCAAACCTGCGAGTACATATGAGGACACACACTGGGGAAAGACCCTATGAATGTAAGGAATGTGGGAAATCTTTCCAGAGGTATGGTCATATTAAACGTCACATGACCACTCACAGTACGTTGAAAACCTATGAATGTAAGGAGTGTCGCAGATCCTTTCGGGATCAATCATACCTGCAAGTACATATGAGGACGCACACTGGGGAAAGGCCCTTTGAATGTCAGCAGTGTGGAAGAGCCTTCCGGAATCACACAGACCTGCGAGTGCATATGAGGAGACACACTGGAGAAAGACCGTATGGATGTCAGCAATGTGGGAAAACCTTCAGATATCATTGGAATCTGCGAAATCATGTGAAGATACACACAGAGGAGAGACCCTATGAATGTCAGGAGTGTGGGAAAACGTTCAGGTATAAGTCATGCCTGCGAGAACATATGAGGACGCACACTGGGGAAAGACCGTATGAATGTCAGGTGTGTAGGAAAACCTTCAGATATCATTGGAATCTGCGAGAACATGTGACAATACACACAGGGGAGAGACCCTATGAATGTCAGGTGTGTGGGAAAACCTTCAGGTATAACTCATGCCTACGAGACCATGTGAGGACACACACTGGCGAGCAACGCTATAAATGTGTGCATTGTGGAAAAGCCTTCAGTCGTAAGTGCACCCTTGTACTACATACTGTGAGAAATCACGCAGGGGTGGAAACTTGGAATGTAAGGAGTGAGGGGAAGCTTTCAGGAAACATCGACCTCTGAACATTACAGGACCACACACAAGGTAGTGAAACCCTATTAATGTCAGGAATGTATCAGAGCCTTCATGTGTCACACTGATCTATGGATACATACGCAGACACACACTGGGGAAAAACCCTGTAAATGTCAACACTGTGGGAAAGCCTTCACATCTCCTTGAAACTTGGGAGCACATATGAGGACACATGCTTGGGAGAGATCCTATGAGTGTTAGCAGTGTGGGAATACCTTCAGGTGCCCATCACTGTGGAAGTACACATACGGACACATGTTGGGGAGAGACCTTTTGAGTATATAGAGTGTGGGAAAGTTGTCAGTTAGCTGCAAAATGTTCAAGGTCATTTGAAAACACACAGCACAACTAAACCCTATGAATGCAAGAGGTGTGGGAAGGCATACAAGTTCTTCTCATCTCCTCAAGTGCGTATGAAGAAACACCCTGGGGAGAGATCTTGACAAATCACCGATCCCTTCAAGAACACACCAGGCTGCACAGTGGACAGTAAGCCTTTGTATGTAAGGACTCTGGTAAGACCTTCGAGTGTCTCAGAGACCTGCATGTACATGTGATGACCCTCAGTGGACAGAACCTTACGAATGACTGCTCTGTGGGAAAGCCTTCAGTTGTCCCTCTTCCCTTCAAGGACACACATAAACTTAAGCACCATGGAAAAGCCTTCAGGTATCCCAGGAATCTGTGAGCATAGACACACTGTGGCATAGCATTTATCCTCCTTTAAATTCTTATTGAAAATGTGAGCCAGTACAATGGAGATGATCCTGAATGGACACAATTTTGGGAAAACTTCAGGTATAGAACTTCATGTATTTTGTTCATGAAAATTCAGGCGGGAGAGAAATATTTTCATTGTTGTGATTATGGTTTTGAGTTTCCAGGTGCCTCTTCCTTGATTGGGACCCTAAGTGTATGAATTCCTAGTTCGTGTCACTGATATGAACACTGATGGTTTTAGGTGGCCTTCTTTGTCCTCTACATCTGTGTGACCTAGATGTTGTTACCTCAGACTTGAAGTAATCACACGGTTATGTACCATATGTCTCTTTCCCATTACAATGTCTTTTGGACTGGATGTGATAAAAAGGTGTCTGTTGTTGGTGTGTACATACAACTTTATATACTTCTACAAAAAAATGTCTTGAATTATACATTCCAAAAAGTTCCTGTTAAATTATCATGACATGAGACCCCTCATTGTTGAAAGTTATTTTCTGTCCTCTGTTGTGATACCAGAATAATCTGGTTTTGTGTCTGCTCTTCTTTTCAGTCTTTATTAATGAAAGATACATTTTCACATCACTTCTCTTTTTCTTCAGTTTAAAAATATTTTTTTAAATGTTTACTTTAGAGAGAGAGAGAGAGAGAGAGAGAGAGAGAGAACAAGTGGGGGAGAGGCAGAAAGAGTGGGAGACCCAGAATCCAAAGCAGGCTCCAGGCTCTAAGCTGACAGCACAGAATCCAATGCAGGACTCAAATCTATGAACTGTGAGATCTTGATCTGACCCAAGTCAGACACTTAACCATCTGAGCCACCCAGGTACCCATTTTTCATGAAGTTTAAAATTATGATATTGGTTTAGCTTTACTGGGACTAATTATTGGTGTCTTTGGTTGATTTTGTTGCAAATTATGACTTTGAAGGACATCCCTTTGGACCATGACTCAGTTTTGCCTTTTTTTTTCCATGAGCAGTGACTGGAGTGGAAATACAAGTGGGGTGCTTTCCTCTTTCCCCCAGGAGGTAAAGTCTGTTGTGGGGTGGGGATGGGTGTCCATCTTCCTGTCAAATCCCTGTCTCCGGGTTTCCCTGTGATCAGCTGAATCCTACTTGGTGAAAGGAGGGAGGACCACCACGTCCAGGGGTAGTAAATCTTGGAATGGAGATCAGGGGGCTCACCATGGTCCTGGTAGGTAAACTCAAATCGAACTAGGCTGAGGACACTTTAGTGCAAAGTGCTAACAAGAACCAGGTGCAGTCTCAGATATCCTCCAGCATCTTCCGTGAAATGGAACCAGGCTTTGCTTTTTTGTGTGACAGAGATGGAGCAAGAAAGCCCACTGTCCGGGTCCAGCCCCTGTGATGAAGGACAGATTTGTTGGCTCAGTTCCCCATGGCCTTGTTCCTCAGCTCATGGATGCTCAGAGTGTGGGCCACCCACAGTTCAGGGGCCTGTGGAGAGGACAGTGGCCTGGGTAACGTTTGGGTAGGAAAGGGGTGTTGTTGGGCAGTGTCAAATGAAGAATCTGAATTGAGTAAGGAGAGTCCTGTATTGAGCAGAATGATTGCATAGTCTGGGTGGGGAGATAGGCACTGTTGCACTGGGGGCAGGGGCCGTGTAGTGGGAGCAGAGTTGCTGTTGTATTAGAGGCAGTGACTACATCAGTGGGGAGAGCACGGTGATCATAAGACCTGCAGGTGTCTGAAGGCAGGAAAGGAGTAAACAAACCGGATATAAGAAGGTGTGGTGCTGACATGGTGGCTCCCTGAGGCCAGCCTGTCTTCCTGTCCCCCAGGAGGGGCTGTGTGTGGCTCAGTCTGAGAGCAAGCCCATGTTAAGGGTCTGGAGGAAGGAGAAAAGCCAAACCAAAGTGGGACTAGCCAGCTTTTGTGCCCCTATTCAGTGGGACGAACAGCTGAGCTAATCATGGATGAGCCACAATGTGTGGACTTGGGAGGTCTACACCTGGTCCTATCATGGCTGAACAGGGGGACTTCCTGTGAGTCTTCTCCTGGTCTGATGGGGAGGGGCCCTTGTACATCCTGCTGTTTTCCAGACCCAAACAGGGTGGGGGAGGGAGGGCCTTTCCCTTCCACTGAGGTTTTCCAGGGAGAACAGGGCTCAGGTAGGCGTCTGCATGTCACCTGTCACCTGTGAGTAGCACAGTCCCTAAGCACTGATGGCTTTCTTTTATGCCAGCCTCATGTTTAGCAGGTGTAAAGTTACTGAATTCTTTCTGCCTCCTTTCTTCCCCTTCAGGGCAGAGGGTAGTAAATGTGTCAGGTCTTTCCTGTTCTTGCTGACTTAGGTTACTCTGAGACTTATCCAGAGAATGTTCACTGGGGAAAGTGTCTCAGAACAAAAAATGCATGGATTTCCACACCTTCATGCCAGGAGGGTGTAGTCATGGATTAAAAGGATTGAACCAAATGCTAGTGACTGTTCCATGCAGAGTGGAGTTAAAAAACTGTGATCATAACCCACTTCCTGTTCATTACTGGTGGTCGGAGATACATGCAAATTCTGTGAAGTGGGATGTATTCAGTCTGTCTTCCAAATTGCTATCATGTGGATAAAATTAAAAAGTAAGTTCTGAAAAGCATGGTTTCCTTTTTTTTTTTTTTTAAACCATAACATGCCTGAGAATTTACCTTCTTTCTTTTATCTTGAACACAGGGAGAAGCAGTGATTCTGCATGTTTTTCTTCATATGCTGGGATGAGGTCTTTATGTCCTTGAAATGACCCAGGGTGCTCAATTGCTCAATACAGGTCTCAAGTTCATCTTTTGCTTTTGTTGGCAGTCCTGCTTAGTGGTTTCGTGTCTCCAAAAGTAAATGCATGTAATTTTTACACATTGTGGTATTGGCATATTGTAGCTTGAGGGAAAGTTAAAATTTATGAACAAATGTGAATGCAGTGTGTGAATCACACATCAGTGCTGATTTCTTTCACTTGTGGCAATGGGTGTTAACTGGATTTATTTTCTCCAGCTGAAGTATGTGACACGGGGTCTCCTTGATAGCACACATTTATTTTTCTAATTCCCCTGTGGCTCAGCATTTCTCATGTGTGGGGTTCCCTCTTCTGTGGAAGCATTTACAGTGTGTTGTCACCTGTAACTCACGTGTCTGCTTCCTGATGTCTTCTGTTTCCTTCACGTCCTGTGGACACTGATGCTGTTTCATTTCTATGTGTTGAAATGTTTTCTCCAGGTCAGGGTGTATGATTTCTCTCTGTTGTCTGTGTGGATGGGCCTTTCACATTGTTAGTAGACTTGAAATTCCCCAACTATTCCTGTGTAGAGTACCTCCTTTTTAAAATATTTATTTATTTTAGAGGGAGAGAGAGAACATATGCATGCCCTTGTACACGCCAACACCAGAGATGGACAGAGAGAGAGGGGGACAGAGAATCCAAAGTAGGCTCTGTGCTGACAGTAGAAAGTGATGTGGGGCTCAAACTCACGAACCCTGAGATCATGACCTTAGCCTATGTTGGACACTTAATTGACAGAGCTACTCATGTACCTCTAGATTACCTTCTGTTGTTCTGTGAGAAAACTCCTCCATCGCTCAGGTCATAATTACACATGCTGGAAGTTCCTTTCTGTGTGTTCTATTTGTTTCCATGACAGTTTAATCCACATGACTTGGTTAATGTCCATGAAGTTGATGAGAGAAATGAGTCCTTTCTTCCCTTAGATAACCAGTTTTCCCTGGACCATGTGTCGAAATGTCCCCATCTCTGCTGCTGCCCTGTGATGACTGCTGGGTGTACATCCACTTGTGAACCAGGGGTGCCTGTCTCTGTAGTCCCTTTTGTCCATCAGGGTTTTGTCTGTGTGTTAATGCCAGTTGTTCTAGTTAGACCAAGATACATCTAGGATTTAGCTTCCCTTTTTTTTTTTTTTTTTTTTTTACCTCCAAAATGACAAGACAGGAATTCAACTCAAAAGAAAGAACAGGAAGAAATCATCACAAGGGATTTATTCAGCACAAATACAAGTAAGATGTCTGAACTAGAATTTAAAACAACAATTATAAGGATATTAACTGGGCATGATAAAAGTCTAGAAGACACTAGAGAATCCCTCATTGCAGAGATGAAAGGACTAAAAACAAGTCAGACTGAAATAAAAAATGCTCTATTAGAGATGGAAACCAGTTGAGATCCATGACAGTAAGGATGGATGAAGCAGAGGGATGAATCAGTGATATAGAAGACAAAATTATGGTAAGTAATGAAGCTGAAAGGAAGAGAGTAAGATAGGTATTGAATCACAAATGAACACTTAGGGAACTAAGCAAGTCCTTAAAGCATAATAATATTCCTATCAGGGGAGTCCCAGAAGATGAAATGACAGAAGAAGGGGCAGAACAGTTATTTGAGCAAATTACAGCTAAAAAGTTTGCTTAATCTGGTGAAGAAAAAACAGACCTCAAAATGAAAGAAACGCAGAGAACACCCATTAAATTCAACAAAAGGAAGCCATCACTAAGACATATCATAGTCAAATTCACAAAATACACGGACAAGGAAAGAATCCTGAAAGCAGCAAGGGGGGAAAAAGTCCTTAACGTACAAGGGAAGACAGATCAGGTTCAAAGCAGGTCTGTCCACAGAAACTTAGCAGCCCACCAGGGAGTGGCTTGATATATTAAACATCCTGAATGGGAAAAAAAATGCAGCCAAGGATACTTTATCCAGCAATGCTATCATTCAGAATAGAAGGAGAGATAAAGATGTCCCCAGACAACCAAAAACTAAAGGATTTTGTGTCCACTAAACCAGCCCTGCAAGAAATATTAAAGGGGACTCTTTGGGGGAAAAAAGACCAAAAGCAACAAAGACTAGAAATAAACAGAAAACGTCACCAGAAACACCAACTTTGCAGGAAACACAATAGCACCAAGTTCATATCTTTTAATAATCACTCTGAATGTAAATGGACTAAATGTCCCAATCAAAAGACATAGCGTATCAATGCATAAAAGAGAAGACCTATCTATATGCTGCCACGAGAGACTTGCAGACAGAAAGGCACATGCTTGCAAGTGAGGAAATGCAGAACCATGTATCTTGCTAATGCACATCCAAAGAAAACTGTAGCATACTTAAATACCAATGTATCCAAGGATTTATATACATGCTTATAGCAGGCAACATAGATTTTATTTTTAAAATTTTATTTTTATTTATTTTGACAGAGAGAGAGAGAGCAAGCAGGGGAGGGACAGAGAGATGGAGAGAGAATCCTAAGCAGACTCCACACTGCCACTGCAGTGCCAAACGTAGTACTTAAACTCATGAACTGCGAGATCATGACCTGAGCTGAAGTTGAATGCTTAACTGAGTGAGCTGCCCAGGAAGCCTAGAGAAACTGGACTTTCAACCAAAAAACTAGAACAACAGATGAATAAGTGCATTACATCATAATTAGGGGGCTTATCCATCAAGAAGATCCATCAGTTATAAATATTTATGCCTGCAACTTGAAAGCAGCCAGAGATAGAAAACAATTAGTAGCAAATTAGTTGTTTTTAGTAAACTCATTAAGGGGCATCTGGGTGGCTCAGTCA